GACGCTCATGGTAACGAATTCTTACAGTACCAAAGCAATTAATGCACACTTTGAGTGCTTTCCAAACATAAAAATATGCTTTGGTTAATATGGAAACCTGTCACTGATTCAGGAATAGACATAACCTCTTATGTTCAGATGGATATAACGTCTGATTAATGACTGCATTGCAAGAGCAAATGTTTTATTCATGAAGCTAAAAACATGTACGATTTGTGCTGAAGCTGAAGGGCAGACGGGCCTCCTGCTGTCTGATATAAAGACAACAACAGACTACAGCAGGCGTTCAGTGCACTTTCTCACACAGTCTGCTCGCACTTACATGTGTTTGACAGTAAAATTACAGCGAAATCAGTATTTAACATGCTGTTCTGTCACTATACGTGCACAGAAAAGAAATCTCGTTGAATGACAATAAAAGTAAAACTGCAATGTTCATTAGCATGTGCAAATTATGCAAAGAGCCATTTCTTTTAATCACAAGATCTCAAAATATCAGCATCACACCATTCACACAAAATGGTATAAAAGATGTCACTATGGTGGCTCCATTTTAATGGGTACATGTGTACTATGTATTATTACCTCAAATGTAAAGTAGCAAAATAGTATGTATGTACCTTTAAGATACCAATATGCATTACATATTTTTTTTTCTCTCTCTATGTAAAATTGAAATAATAACATACATAGGAAACTGGAAATGTATTTTGTAGGGTGCGTGCTATTAAAAAGGAAAACTGAAATTGGTTATGAAAGACCAACATTCAGATTGTGACAGGTGGACCTGCTGTAAGCTGGCAGAATTCAGAAGTGTTCATTGAGTTTAGCAGTCAGTCTGAAATAAGTGAGATAAACTGTGTGACACTTTTATTGTCTGTAGCGTCAGATGTCCAGGCCATGAATCACACTGAGACAACTATAGTCTCAAGCCAGTGTCTAAACTGATTTCATAAAGGTGCCAAGGGCACCACCGTTTACATTCTGCAGCACAATACGTACACAATATGTTTAAATTCATAATAAAATCTACAGCCTTTAAATGTTTTTCTTTTTTACAAAATTGCGCAGGCACTCACAAACTGAGAAAATCTGCACTGCGTTAAATAAAAGTGAATTAACTAAATAAATGCGCATACACATCTTTTACCTTTCTACCTGGTACTCCCACAATATCTCACCAGCAGTTCAGTCAGAGGTCTGATCTAGAAAGCTCTCTCGGTCTAAAGCACAGACAGTATGGCATTCCTCTCAAATCCGGGTAAAGGATTTTTAAGCCAAACTCAGTCTGGAACCAGTCTGACCAGTTTTGGGGAAAGTTACTTTTAAATGCGTTAATTAACTAATTGTAATGCGTTATAATATTATGTTACTTTCTAAACAAGTAACTAATTGCACTACTTAGATACTTAAAAAAAAATAATATTAAGTTTCATTTTTGGATAATGTAAAGGCCCTTTCACACCAAAAGTGATATGAATAATAAGCCTCAGGCTGAAGGAAATTAAAATTCATGCCTGTAGAGCAAAGGGGGTAGAGCTGAAACAAATATGTCAGCCGTGCTGAAGAAGAGCTGCTAATGTGATGTGTATCTAAAGTCATTTTTTTTGCTGTTGGGATGGTTAATTGGATTATTGAAGGTCAGCAGCAAAGACACTGATTAGTAAAATAAGATTAAATACATAAAGTATATTTGTGCAATTTAATTATTGCAGGTTTTCGTAATATTCTGAGTTACTGTTTTTAAGCATTTTGAGGAATAGTTCATCTGTTTCTGTGCAAGTAAGATGCTCACATTTAGTCTTAAAGTACAGCATCATGTTTACACAGCGCACACCACCTCTGCACCTCATTCCCGATTTATCTCATAGTTGTCATATATGTACTGCATATATAATATACGCCATATCAATGGTACCAGTTCACACATATGCAAGTCACTCATGCCATTTACATGGATGCATCCACATACCGTGACAGAGGTTTACTTTTAAACCTGTCATGAAAGTCTGGATGGTCCTTCTCATCTTTGGGACTGAGAACTCAAATTCAGTTTTTTCCCCAATACATATATATATATATATATATATATATATATATATATATATATTAGGGCTGTCAAACGAAACGATGTATATTTAAGAAATATTTTCATGTATATACTGTATATAGATTTATGTATAATTTATATTATATATAAATATAAATATTTTACATATAAATAATATTTTTTTCTTAAATATACATGCATGTCTGTGTATTTATATATATACAAAATAATTATACACAGTTCACCCACCCACATATTATGGAAACCCAAACTTTTATTTTGGATGCGATGAATCGTTTGATCGCAATTAATCATTTGATTAATCGTTTGACTTCCCAACACTGGATATACTGTATATATATATATATATATATATATAGAAGAGTTCAGATGCAAAAGCCTCTAAATCCCATTTGAAATTTTCTTCTTTAATGTTGATTTTTATCAAACTTGTATATTTAAGTTCAGTAATTTCACTTAAATAACAATTAATAGGTAATTATCATTGCCATTTAAGTGAAATCACTGAACTTAAATATACAAGCTTGATAATTTTAAATGGCACTTAGAGGCTTTTGCATCTGAACTCTTTATATATATATACAGTATATCCAGTGTTGGGAAGTAACTAGTTACATGTAACTGAGTTACGTAATTTAATTAATAAATAAATGTAACTGCAATCAGGGACAGTTACTGAGAAAAAAGGTGTAATTAAAAGGTGTAATTACAGTTACTTATACATTACATCTGAATATTTTCAGTAAAAAATCAGGATATGTTGAATAGTATTAATTTGTTGCTTTGCATGTTTTTGATTTGCACAATGCCTCCTGCCATTTAAAGGCCGTTTAGTAAAGCGATGCTAAACTATGCTTTTGGTTATTTCTCGTTTGATTTTGCAGCTCACCACGTTTGCCGATGACACGATTACATCAATCCACATTGGTGCTTTCTAATGTCTAAGAGTTGCCACTATGGCAAGTGATACAAATGAGTACCAGTGCTGGAAAAGTAATCAAAAAGTAATGCAATGTAACCCGTTACGTTACTTTAATAAGGAAATTGAAATCGGTACACTATTTACATTTTAAGTAACTTGTAATCTGTGACCTATATTTCCAAAGAAACCTTCCAACACAAAGTAACCTTGCGTGTGTGTGTGAGTATATATATATATATATATATATATATATATATATATATATATCTGTGATATTTAAAAGTAATGCATTACTTTACTCATTACTTGAAAAAAGTAATCTGACCACATAACTCATGTTAGTTGATGTGCGTTACCCTAAAAAACACTGCCAGTGACCTTCTGACCACTGAATTCATAAGAATTGTGAGCATTTGGACAGGTTGAAAGCATAACTAAAATAAGATGTGTTCTCTACTCTGGTTCCTCTTCTATGTCATGACCCAGCAGCTTTTTACTGGTGGGTGTGATGGTAGTTCCAGTCTATTTTGGATTGTGGGGATGAATGGAAGGAAGATCTGAGTTAAAAAAGGCACAGAGGAGGAGAGGAAGGCTTACATGTGACTTAACAGGATAGCAGATTCCTGTCACTAATATTTCAAATGTTCAATATTTCTTTACCACATTTTCCTCTGGTATATGATTTTTAAAAGATGCCTCTTATACACACCACAGCTGCATTTATTTGATAATAAGAAAAAACAGCAATATTATAAAATGTTATTTAAATTTAAAAATGTGATTTATTCCTGTGATTTAAAGCTGAATGTCCAGTACCCTTCAGTGTCTTCTCAAGTCTTCAGTGTCACATTCTGATGTGCTGATTTGGTGCTCAATACATATTTCTTATTAATATCAGGATTGTGAAAACCATGATAATTCTTTTAAGAAAATTCAAAAGAACAGCATTTATTTTATACAAAAATCTTTTCTAACATTACAAATGTCTTTACTATCACTTTTGATCAATTTAATGCATTCAAATAAAAAGTATTAATTTATTTTTCAAAAATCTTACCGACCCCAAACTTTTGAACAAGAGTGTATGTTCAATATTTTAATAATGTTATTTCAATAAAACATTTTTTTGCATTAATATTTATCAAACACAATTTTAAATGTTAAAAGATAAAAAATAAATGATAAATGAGGATTCGTATGATTATTTGAACATTTTGATTCAAAATGACTTTGGACAACTAAATGTTTCAAATGCATATTTAATAATTACACGCCTAAAAATTTACTCAGCCTAGTTGTAATATCATCACATTTCTAATTGGGCCTTTCAAATACAGTGCAGTTCATGGTTATCAAGGTGTTCACGTTATTTAGACAAAGATCAGATCACATTTCAAAATCCAGATAAAACAATAACAACGTTTTCACACAAACACACAACTTTATTAGCTGTTGATGTTTCACGGTCTAAGGCTTAAAAATATCAAATTCCCAGCAAGGTTCAACTGAAGAACTAGGGGAGAGCAGGGCACAACCTAACACTTTTTGACTTTCTCAGTTTGTGTAAAGTGAGGTAGTGAGACAGCTCTCAAATTTAATCAAAAATATCTTCATTTGTGTTCCGAAGATGAACGAAGGTCTTACGGGGTTGGTACAGCATGGGGGTGAGTAATTAATGACTTAATTTTCATTTTTGGTGAACTAACCCTTTAAGATTAAAATAATATCAGATTTGACTGTATTTTAGAGCAATTTTTTGTGGCAACTGCTAATTACAATAAGTTTCAACATGCTAGCATGTGTGGAAACTTTTAAACCATGTGTGTTACACCTAGCCAGGCTCTCCCCTACAGATGGTTCCGAGTTGTTGAGAACCTCAAACCTGACTGAACACGCCAACAAGATTTCTATCAAAACTGACCAACGAAATCATTTTATGCGCGTGATGTTTCAAAGACAGTACATGGATGGTGTGATTTCTGGTGGTAGCGCAGACCTCCACAGTTTCTAAAACTCTTCCACACTCTTCACACACATACGGCTTTCTCCCGTGTGAATGCGGAAGTGCCGTGTCAGCGCCCCCGAGTGCCGAAACCGGACCCCGCACAATGAACAACTGTACGGACGCTCACCAGTGTGTATCCTTAAATGAGTCTTCAGGTTCTCCAGGCGATTGAAGTCTCGGCTGCACATGCTGCAGTGATACGGGCTGCACCCTGGAGGGAAAAGCTGTTGCTTTCTCGGCCGGGTTGCGACAGTGCCTTCTTCCACATTCACTAATATGGTTCTGTGATTCTGAACGGGATGATAACAGAGATTATTTGAACTGTGTGATCCACAGCTACATAATTTACACATATACAGGCTGGGACGGATGTCTGTCCTCACCTGCTCATTACAGTTTTGCGTTGGCTGCGTGAGGGATGTCCTGTCGTCTTCTGATAGGTAGAGATCGTGAAACGGGTTAGAGACTAGAGAGATGCAGCCACCGGATGGCAAATTGATTTTTGAGGAGCCTGAGGAAATAACACATAAATCACTGACATGATTTCAGCACAGCGGAACAATTTTATTGATAAACCATTACCGTGACTGTTGCTGGGTTCTTGATCCAAAGGTTCGGTCTTGTTCTGTGACTTCTCCGGAGCAGGCTTCCAGTCTTCTAGCAGTTTTGGCGGAACTAAAGTCATTCTGTTGAGCACAAACTCCTCATTACAAGTTGAGTCAAAACTATAGTCTGGACTGGAATAAGGAGAACACATCCAGAGCTGTCATTCAGTGCAAGTTCCTCTGGATCGGACTTCTCACTTTTCACCTTAACTTGCTCAATTGCAGGATGAAATGATACGCCTTGATCGCTTGGATTTACATCTTGTATGAGTTCTATGCTGAGCTCCTTTTGGGTCTGATGTATCTTGCTCTGTGAAGACATAAGTGACGACAAAAGTAAAGACAAAAAAATATGTATTTATGTATATAGAAAAGATCAAAAGTTTGGAAACATTACTATTTTAAAGTTTTTTTTTTTTTTTTTTTTTTTTTAAGAAGTCTCTTATTCTCATCAAGCCTGAATTTTTTTTTATCAAAAACAGTTATTTGAAATATTCGTCCAATTTTTAAGTAATGGTAAGAATTGTATTTAACATAAAAAAAGACTGGAGTAATGATGCTGAAAATTCAGCTTTGAATCACAGAATATATTAAAATAGAAAACGATAATTTTAAAGTGTAAAACAATGTATTTTTGATTTAAATAAAAAATCTGGCTTGATGAGCACAAGAGAAATGAACTTCACTCTCGTCTCTTGACTTTTCATCATGCTGAAAAGGGTCTAAATGTGGCTTTGTTGTCAACTGATATTACTCCCAGTTTCTAATCACATGATTTCTGTTTTTCATTTTGAGGCTACTCAAGTTAAACGCACCGTGTATAGGCGATGTGTTAATTTCATGTGATCGTACACGACCATCATGAGAGATTTCGTGAAAAGATCCTTTCACCAGCCCTTCACTCTCATCCACATATGCATGTAC